GCGGCATCGTTAGCAACCCTCTCAAAGCACCGTTCCCCTCCGTCTGTGCGTCTCTCTCTCTCTCTCTCTCCCCTCGTGTAGTATCAAAGCGATGACAACAAGTACGGAGTTGGTATCAATAACCAAAAAAACAAAAACAAAAAACGCAAATAATAATAACTGTTCTTCTTTTTGTTATTATTATTATTATTATTAGTTGGCTTTCAATAACACAATAAAATACACACACACAAATAACGGAATGGCGGACGCTTAAAAATCACCACAAGAACACAAACACACACACACACAAAAAAAAAAAAAGTAATAAATAAATAAATAAATAAAAGGTAGGCAGAGCGATAGTTTTTTTTTTTTTTTCTTTTTTTTTTCTTTTCTTTTTGTGTATGTGTGTTTGTGTGTGCGTGCGTATTTCTTACTTTTCTTTGTTTGTTTTTCACTCACTGATGGTTGTTTGTAATTACGGTTTTCTGTGTGGCGCTACTCCGTTCCCCGCTTTGAATGACTTTTAAAAAGACGTTATTTGTTGTAATGAATGAGTAACTAATAAATAAATAAATATATATGGATATATGAATGTATGTATATGAAATTACGTGTATGTCTGTGTGTGCACGCTTTAAAAATAAAAATAAAAATAAAAATGGAAATAACGACGTTTAAAGGAACATGCATGGAGATAGAAATTAACAGTGATACATTGCAGCAGGTCCACAGAATTCATAGGCGCACATACATAAAAAAAAAAAAAAAAGTAAATAAAAGGCATAAAATAAAACGTACAGAAACACCACTGTCACTGAATAAGGAAGAGGAAGCCTAAGTATGCATGTACACATTCATTTCCCACCTCTATTCTGTCGCTACCGCAGGAATGGGAGTGGAAGCAATAAAGACTTTTGTGTAGGCCTCCTCAGACTCATTCAACAGCCCCTCCACCATGGAGATATCACCGTCATCGCCATTACATCCACACACCTGCGTTATCAGATGTGCCAGCTGCTCACAACTTGCCGCATTCCAAACCAACTCGCAACCCGCTGCCGCTGTCAGAGACGCAGTCCAATTCGTAGACATCGTGCCGCCCTCACCGCTTCTCATCTCTACTGCTGCACTTTGTGCCGCCACCCCGTCGCTGTCACGTTGCGGTGGCGGCGGCAGCAGCAGTGTGTGGTAAGCATCCGTCTCCAGCAGCATCCGTCTCTCCCGCAAGAGAAACGGCAGCGTCTTCTCCGCAAAATCCTTCACCCGTAGACTCGTGCTGGCACCCACGCCAAAAAATATGCGGAGCGGCTCCTTCTTCTTCGCCAACTGACCCCCACCCGTTGAAGTTGGCCGTCGCTTTCGTATCGTCATCGCCGACCGCGCAAAGTCCACGGAGCCGGTAAATCCGTGCAGCACAATGGCGGGCGGCGTGTCCTCGTCGGGGAGCTCCTGCAGCGTCTGCAGCATCCTCCCAAAGCTGCGCACGCAATGCACAGAGACGGGGCGGCCATATTTCGCCGCCAACTTCAACTGCGCCACGAAGAGCGGGAGTTGCACCGACTCCGGTGGTCCCCGCAGTTTGTCCAGTCCAATCTCCCCCACTATGGCACGTGGATGACGTCTCAATGCGGCTTCAAGTAAACATAAAAGTTCCTCCGCGCTCCGCTCGCCTTCTTTCTTGTCGTGCGGGCACCCCACGGCAGCATCGGTGCCTTCCGGAGCAGCCGCTGAATCCGCCACCGTGCAGGCAGTTTCATTGGGCACGAACCACGGGTGAATGCCAAACCCTGGGATGACCGCAGGCGATGCTGTCGGTTCCGTCGTGGTGTCTAAAGTGGGAGAAATTCGCAACTGCGACGAGTGAGCCGCCGCCACGGATGCCGCCACGGTGTCCCAGTCAACATCGGGGTGTGTGCCGCACACCACAGCGCGCACTATGTGGCACATGAATGGGAGCTTTTTTGAATCGTCTGTCGGTGTCTCCTCTGGAAATGAGGCCGCCGTCCTCACATGGCAGTGGGAGTCGGTAAGT